GAAGTAATCGAGCACTTTTATTGTTAATTCATATCTAACAAGATGAGCTCGAAAACGCTTGCGCGAAAGCGAAGGTCAGATAATGTTAGTAGAAGAGAGAAATAAAGTGCGGGTGAGCATTTGTAGTAGATAAAATCGGTCATTACGAGTAACCAAGGGTCAGTTTCGTAAGCCGTACGTAAATGCGGAAATTGCGTGAAGTAACAAAGCTGGACGCGCAGAACGGGGACGTAAAGCTCATATAATAAAAATGTGATGAGTGCAATTTGACAAGACATGAAAGAGAAAGATAGAAGGAGAGAGAGAGAGGCAGGGAGAAAGAGATAACCATGTAGCGAACGAATTACTTCGTCGACAAGTCTCTCGAAGTAATTAAGGAATGGGGAAAAAAGCATCTTCAACGAAAGGAAATGCATCTGGGGAACGAAACGAGAGCCTTGAACTGGACTTACGGGATCAAAAAAGGGCGAAACGAGAGTCGATAACGAAATTAATTAGCTCGTGCAAGTAGACTACATTCGGATTAACGGTAACTCTCTACGAAACGGCAATGCGGAAAGTGCTACGAGCAACACATCTTATTGAAAATTGTTCACGATCGCTTGCACAAGTATGACTCTGAACATGAAGATAATTAATTCTTCGGCGAGTCGACAATTTTTGTTACCTTATATAGGAGCGTAATTCAATATTAACATAAATCCAATGTTAATCCGATACTTACATTATATATTCCGTAAATTATACAATATTATATATATCATATATATAATAATCTCTTTTTTATATTACTTTATTACAATACGTGTGCTAGGTACGTTAAATAAAAATTGGAACGCAAAATGTCCGCGAATATATCGGCGTTGAAACTGGGATAAATCAAATGAGAATACAATTATATTCAAAATATATATCTGTTTAAAACTTCAATTCTTTTATTAAAGCTGCAAATTTCTTATAAAACAATTTCACGATAAGTTCTTCAGAAGTACGGTGGCGATATAGCATCTCGGTTACGTGAATGGCATGAAAACCTCTCGATGAAGTAGCGTTTATATATATATATATATATTCATTGAAATTAACTTAGAAGTCGTAAAAAATGAGAGGAATTTAAATTGCCACTCTTGCGTCTCTTCAATAGCAAAATTATTACGCTTGTAAAACTCTTAACGCTCCGTAAGTAATTATAAACCGCAATTAAAGACCGTGTCAGGTCGACATTGAAACGAAATATATCTTTAAATTCTACTTGTGTTATATTTCTTTAATTCCTTGTTAACGCATTATTTCGTAATTCGTACCGATAATTCCGGGAAAATAATTGTTTATACAACTACAAAAAAATTGATGTATAAAATAAAATGACCGCCAGATTTTGAAGATTTTCTTATTATAACTTATTATAACGTAAAAACGCGATTCTTCAACTCATCATTCGCGCGCTATTGTTGTTTGTTTTCTCACCAAATTATTTCGTAGACCGGCGAAATATTGACGTTCATTACAATGATTCGTAAATTCTGCATTAACCATCACATTAACCGGTCCAACATTGCAACGAACGTAATAACTAATTAATTCGCTGGAATAATTTAAATTACGATCTATCTGTCAGTTGGAAATTCGACGACGTCGGCTATTTCATCGGATATAATTAAATTGGGGCATATGATACCGAAATAAAGCATATACACGAAGCTGATTATATTTTACAAAGATTTTTCGGACCTGCCACAACCGAATCGAACAACTGGATGAACCTGGTTAATAAAGCCAGAAAGGAGATGCGTTTTACGCTTCGCATTGCGCGTAATTTTTGTTCGCTATCTCATGTTTGCCCACGTGCGTATGAAACAAATATTTGAAATAAATATCGCCATCTATGACGTTGCACGTACCAGCAGTTTTTCCCGAAATGTAATGTTCTCTTCATGCTGCATTAACGTGAAAACCGCCATGTCATGTAAAATTCAGGAGAATACATTGTCCGATCTAATATCCGTAAAAAACAAATCTGTTTACTTATTAATGAAAAAGTTCTTTGAAAACAAAGAACGTTTCTATTAATAAATATATACAAGCAATCATCAATGAGGAACAGAGAGAGAGAGAGAGAGAGATTCCCCTAAATTGTAGACCAAATATAATGAAACTAGTTAGGACGCATCAAACAGAAGATATCCTAAAGTTTCATACTGAATTCTAGATATAATGATTTATCTTGGCTTTAAATTAATGAAGATAACACATCACTGTTAGATAAAGATACTTCATATTTTTGCCTCTAATCGTAATTCCCTACATCTCATCCAGCTTCCGTTGCAGTGAATCAATCAAGCGATTTTGCTTTCATTGATAAATCGCATTTCCAGCGAACGATCAATAGAAGGATTAAGTAACTCGAAACGTCATAAATATACACCTGGTACGTAATGGCAGGCGAGTCTTAAGGATCCATTAATAAAGGCACGGAGAGGAGATAGCCGTTTTCGTACACGGCGATTAATCACAACCCGTGAAGGCGCTCGTGCCGGGCTTTATGGCGCCGTTAAACATAGCCGCTGAGATAAGTTAAACACGAGAAGTTAAAAAGGCAACCCTTTTAGCATTTTATTCGCCGCCACTTGAAGCTCTCCCGTTCCTTCTTTTTATTTTCGCGCGCATCTCTCGATTCGGGAGTCATTTGCGAGTCCCTGCTTTAATGCAGTATTTCAGATGCACTCGCCAGGCTACGGCGACCCAATAATTTAGGAGGAAAGTTAGGAGGCCCGTATTTAGAGTTACGAGCGAATCTTTGCAGTCGCAGGAAAGGGGGATAAATATTCAACTGCATCCGTACGCAACCAGGACGGGGCAAATGAAAATATATCGCTCTCGAAAATCTTTAATTTGCGAGAAACGTTTCGCGTCCGTGCGATATAACGTTGTTCCGTTCTATAAGAGGCTGGGTTATTTTCTTGTAAAAAAAAAAAAGATAATTCGAGGGAAGGTGGGATATTAGAATATTTCGCAGCGTGGCGCCCGGAATATTTTAAGTTTCTTACGTTTAACGAGACGTTAACAAAACATTAAGTAGATTTTAAGATCGATTTAATAGCTTAAATCGTGCATTGATAAGGCTGATTATTTTCGTCATAGGAGAGAGAAGATAAACTTCTCCCAATGGGGGTGACCTGTTATTTATGATATAAGAATAATACAAAAATAAGTATACATTAACTGGCGTCATCCGATGTACATATGATACCACTTGTGATCGAAATAAACATCGATTACAGTAAACTCCCAAACGCTCCAAGACAACTTTCTTAAGGAATGCGAAGGAATGAGTTAATCATGATGACAAGGTAGCCGCGTCGATAATAACAGTCGAGAGATAAATTACATCCCAATCCGATCGTAGTGCGTATAGTAGTTTTAACCGCAGCTTAAACGTTCTCACGATATGCATCCCTGTCTTCTCTTATACGTTTAAGTATTATTATTAGATTCGCGTGTCAATGACAAACCGTAGAGGGTTATAGAAGGCTTTTGTGTGCATTTTCGGTAAAATTGCATTTTTTCTATAGCTGCATGATAGTGTAAGCGTTTTCTCTCCGTCGCAACATTTCTCTGCGCAACACACCATTGCCTCCTCCTTTTCGTACACGCACTCCGCGCGCAAGTAAGTACATTTCTATTCTCAATTTTCTTATTTTCGCTTATCTAACATCAGAAACTGAACGTACGTAAGTTACCTTTACTGTTCTGGCGAAATGTGAATTGCCGACCTCAGCGTAGTAACTTCAGCAGGTGAACTGGGTTACGCGTATCGATGTATCCTGTAGAAATTCTGGAAATGTTAGCCCTCCTCCGTTAGATGAGTGAAACTGCTTAAATATAAGTCTTACAAAAACCCGAGAGCAAGCTGAGAGATACCTAAAGAACGTTTAAAACAATTAGAACGTCCTTCGGGTGTATCTCTGCGACAGAAATCCCTCTAGACATTTTTCTATTGCCTGCTCAAACAACACAGAGTGCGAAAAACGCGTAAGGGACGTCTGAAGAACATCTCGTAGACGTCTTCGTCGTACCCTTATAGATATTTTTGTTGCTGGATACGTGGTGTATATGCTATTCTTACTCATGTATATGTGCTTTTATCCTTAGCTGTTGTGTTGTCTGTCCTAATTATTATATTACCGAATAATAATACGCTTGTTACGCTTGTCTATTGTTTCTTTCTCAACTTTCGCCTCGAGTGTGAGTCGCAAGAGTTGATTCCGTGACAGGATCCATTCGGATGGCACTGAACCGCCGTGTGTTGTGACTGCGAGTGTGTCATCGTGGCGTGTATGTCTTCATGGAGAGGCTCGAATATTCGGCCGCGTCTGGAGAATGCTCCGTGTACTGTGCTACATGTATATACATATATATTCGCTAGTATAGAGAAATCGGCGAGGGCATTCCAGCGGAAGCCCCTCTCCAACAGGAGATGAAAACAAAAAGGGCTAATGCACGATACGAGAATTATAGAAAAAATATGAAAAAAGGCATAACTGTAAAATGCCAAGTGGCTCGAGCGAATTGAAAGCACACTCCAGTTCGATAAATATAATATCAGGAAATGTGAAAATTGCATTTGAAAAATTGCATTATCCGTTGGAATGCATGGTTAAAGTGCGCCTCGCGCTTTAAAACATTTCAGACACGGATATTCTCCCGAATGTCTGAACTTTTGAGCCTCTCCGCGCGCACCGGAAACGCGCGAGCACTCGTACAGGCGAATGAAAGATTATATTGAATATGTATGTCGAGAGCAAAAATGGGGGGATATCGAGTAAGAAGGTTCTCAAGCGGAGACGATCGTGATCTGAGCTAAGAGAATCCAGAAGAATAATCTTTCATTCTTGACGAGAAAGCTGTTAACAGCGTTCGATCGACCCGCCATTTCCGTGACTAATCGCCTTCTTTTTGTATTCTTTCTTCGGGGGATTTTCGGGAATACCTCGATTCAGGATCATACTTCAATTGCATCATGTTCATGGTGGCGAGCAGCGTCGTGCTGACCGTTCTGGTGCTCAACTATCATCACAGATCGCCCGACAGATACGTGATGCCAAATTGGGTAAGAAAATACTATTCAATTAACTATATCGGACAGTTTTAGCTGTAATTAATGATAAATAACAGCATCGAATAATATAAATGTAATAAATGTAGCGTGTATTATTAATGACGCAAATGTTGTAGTAAACAACGGTAATTTGTCACCAAAGTAATTTTGAATGACACAAATAACACTAGTGACTGAATTAACGCTAATAAATATGCGCTGATGAACGTTGATAAATGTAATCATTAAAATCGCGCAGTTATTACCTTCCTTTGTAACTTTGTGCGTTTTCTATCCGCTGAAATGTTTATCGTTCGCGCAGTCTTTGTAGAACGGATTATGTATCGTATACCAATTCGAAAGCAAATTGATTGAACCTACATAGAGTCGGATCTTTTTAATTTGCTGAAAGTATAGCTTAGCCAATTGTAGAATAAAATATTTCAGTCGAATAAAGGTTAATCATTTTAGATATATTGCGAAATAAGCTGCTTAACTAAACGGATTAGCCGAGATTGCATTTGCTTTCGTCATTGTTGCAGTAACATTATACCGAAATTGTTACAAATTTAATTGCCTTCTATTACGCTCTATAATTGAACAAGCAGCAATTTCGAAATTACACAATATAATTTTATAATCGCGATAATAAAACGCGGTAGTATAAGCATATTAGATTTATTTCTTGGAAAACGTTATTATTATCATCGAAATATTCAGATAATTATAATAATGAAATAGCACCAAATTACATCTTAATATTTCTAATCGCATTATTTAACGAAGGTGGAAATTGTTGCGAAAATTAAAAGCGACTGAACTTCGTGAATTCGAAACAATGCGAAATAATTTAAACCTTTGCACGCAAAGAATACTTCGCATAATGGTTAGCGATACGTCTTGTACGGTAAACTTCGCGGTGTGGCTATAACTACCATTGAAAACAGAGCTTTCTTGAAAGTTTAAAATGCCTTCGAGCTGTTGGTACTTACTTCCGACCAGTGCCAGTTAGTTAGTGCAAATTTTTTTTTACACAAGTCAACACATGGGAATTGTTTGAATACTCCGGATTTAAACAAGTACACTGCGTACACAAAACATCCATAGTGCATATTTACACAGTGTTGTGTCAATATAATATATATTGGATAGAATTTCGAATTTGATTTGTTTTATTTCACTAAAGAAACGTGCAATTCGGCTATCGAGTTTAAATCCATGAGTAAATGTTTTTTTTACGAATTTGTATTTTTTTTAATGTTTTTAAAAGAACAAAAATATATGTAGGTATGATTATTGAAAACGCCATTGTGTCACAAATTGTTCTAAAAGCCAAATTATTCTAAACTCAAGTAGTATAACTAAAAGATAATCGTGACTTTTGGGAATTTCTCGTAATTTTCACTTCAGCAATTTTCAAAATAAAGAATACTCACTATCCCTCGTGACGCTTATCGCGTGTTCTACATGTAAATCTTTTGAAAGTATCAAACTTTGAATATGGTGTGCGGACATCATTTAAAAATTCTATACTCTCCAATTTTCTGAACGGGTTTTTGTTCTCGCAGCGAGATTCGAGGAAATAAAGTTGAGAGGAATTTTTGCTAGAGAGCGCGGCGATACGATACGTAGTTACAAAGTTTAACGAGACAATAATTCGATGTTCACGCAGGTGAAACTAGTGTTTCTACAATGGCTGCCGTGTGTGTTGCGCATGAGTCGGCCGGGCAAGAAGATCACAAAGAAGACCATTCTCATGAGTAATCGGATGAAGGAGCTGGAGCTGCAGGAGAGGAGCAGTAAGAGTTTACTAGCGAACGTTTTAGACATCGACGATGATTTTCGCCATGGGAGCAGCGCAGCCAATCCTGCCTCGGGCTATATAAGGTACCACCAGTAGTTC